GGTTTAGGGTTTAGGATAATAGAGCCGACATTGGGCTTGGGGTTTAGGCTTTAGGGTTTCGGCTTTGGGGTCTAGGGTTCGGGGTTGGGGGTTCAAGTTTTGGAGTTTCGGGCTATGCTGGAGACGTTGTACAGCAAGCCCAGAGCCCTATGCCGGAAGACCCAAGCCTTAATCACAAGATAACCCACCCTAAACCCTAAACCCTAAACCCTAAACCCTAAACCCTAAACCCTAGAGTCGGCCTTAAGCCGGAAGCCCCGAGCCCCAAACCTCCTGCAGGACTTGCCTCCACGGCGGTTTCGCGCCGGAACTCGGTTAGGAAGGCGCCCTTTCCTTGCGCTCAACAACTCTAAGGTGACCCTAAGCCCTAAGCCCTAAATCCTCAACCCTAAACCCTAAATCCTAAACCCTGAGCCCTAAACCCTAAGTCCTAAACCCCTAAACCCTAAACCCTCAACCCTAAGTCGTAAACCCTAAACCCTAAGTCCTTCACTTGAAGCCGGGATCTCTTCAAGCCTCAAGCTTGAGGTTCGGGGCTCAGGGCCCGAGCTTTCCAAAGCTTCTAATATAGGGGCCTTAACATTTAGAATAGGGTTTCGGAGCCCCTTATACTATGCTTAGAATAAGGAACCCCCCAAAAGAGTACAGGTAATTATTTAGGCCCCTACAGGAGGTCGGGTCGCAGTACTTGGGGTGGCGAGTCTTGCCGCCGGTTCCGTCTTCATAAACCCTAAACCCTAAACCCTAAAACCCTAAACCCTAAACCCTAAACCCTAAACCCTAAACCCTAAACCCTAAACCCTAAACCCTAGAACCCTAAATGGCTTCAGGTTCTCTTCGAACCTTGAACATGGGGAGGTTTCCGAAAATAGGGCACCCGAATAGAGTACCCCAAATACTCCCCTAAACCCTAAACCCTAAACCGAGGATCCTTGTAAGGACCTAAACCCTAAACCCTAAACCCTAAACCCTAAACGCTAAACCCAAAAGAAGGTACCCCCTTAGTTTTCGGAGACTCCCATGAGGACTTGAGTGTAGCTTGCCGTGGGACCCGACATCCCGGCGGAAGCACCCATTGGCTTTGGGTTTAGGGTTTAGGGTTTAGGGTTTATGGTTTTGGGTAACCGAAAGCTGAACTTCCGTAGGCTCCGACATTCAGGCGATTGCACAAGCCCTGATGCACAAAAGGGTAACCGAAAGAGAAACACCTAAATCCGAAATCCCGTCAACCAGAGACACAAGGCCCACAGCCGAAACACTCAATCCATTGAATAACCCTAAGCCTCAACCCCCCAAATCTGGAAACACCAAAAAGCCCCCGTGGCCTAAGTTCGTAGCCCTTCGTCCGCCTTCTTCCGGAGGTCAAGAGCAAGCGTGTGAGCCTCCAGCTTCCAAAACAGGCGGGAGGGCTTGGGGCTATGAAGACTTGCGGATTTTTCTAAGCTAAGCTCAGAGGTGCATCGGGGAGCAACCCGATATTCAGCACGGTTTAAGGGCCTCCCTTCGGGTTTTAGAGGTTTAGGGGGTTGGGTGTACTTGGGTTTAGGGCTGCAGGTTTGGAGTTTGCAGATTTAGGACTCCAACTGTGTGAAGGCAGGGGCGTTACTATGCCGGGAAGGGCTGAAACTCTGAAAAGGTTCGGTTCTATCTCCGAGGCCCTGAATCCCCAACCCTTGTCCCGATGCCCACTACCTATGCAAGATTCGGTTTTCGAGAACCTCTTCTAGAGACTTACAGACGTTGAATGACACCCCGACGGAGCCCCAAGAAAGCCCTAAGCCCTACATCCCCCCGTCCTCCCCATCTTGAACCCTAAAGCCCCAACAATGCTTGTACCCTATACAGCCCTTTGGAGCGAACCCCAATACCTTAAAACTTACGGCTCCATGTGCCCAAATGGGATAGACTCAGGCCTTAAAGCACCTCTGAAAGAGCCCCTTAAGGATTAAGTATATACTATATGGGCATATGGGTAGTTTTCTAAATTAGGGTCCCTTTGGGGGTCCTTTAAGAAGACCTAAAAGGGAATTTAATTTAGAGAACTACCCACATGGAGCCGTTGCATAGAGCCCCCAATCCCCTGAGTATGGCCCGACAGGCTCAGGCCTTGGTCCCGCGGAAGCCCACCTTTACGCCGAAGCTATTCAGCTCCCTGACACAGGCGGGATCAGGGTTCAGGGTTTAGGGTTGAGGGTTTAGGGTTGAGGGTTTAGGATTTAAAGATTTAGCTGTTGAGCAGTGTTCGCTGGCACACAATCCAAGCTCCAAGCCCATGCTGAAAGGGGCTTAGGGTTCAGGTATTTCAGGCTTCAGTGTTCAGGGTTTCAGGTCTAAGATAGAGAGGGATTTGGCGTTTGGGGGTTGAGGGTTTCAGGATTCAGGGTTCAAGGGATGTAGGGGTTGGGGTTTCCGGGCCTGAAAGTATGGGCTTCGGAGTTTGGGTATCCTATTAGGGTCTAGAGTTTGAGATTCAGGTTAGGCAGCTCCGTCCTAAATGCCCTTATTAGAGCTTCAACCTAAAATCTTAAAGATTACAGTCTGAAATCTTCAAGTCTACAGTATAGCTTCGACCCCAGTCCCTAAAACTTATCCTTGAACCTGAAAGGCTGCCAGCTTTGCACTAAGCCCCCAGAAACCTACCGTCTTCAGGAACTATTTCAGGAAATCATCATAGGAAACCTAGTGCTGAAGGTTTCTTGGGGTTTAAGGGAACCCGAAAAGAGTGGATTTCCTCGCGCTTGGGGCCAGCCCTGGACTCTTGAAGTGCAGCAGGGGAGAATGAGGAATCGCGGTTCAGGCTCTGGGGCACATCCAGAGAACCTTGTGTACAAAGTGGTGCGCTGTGGATGTTTTTATGCTAAGCAAAGGCTGAGAGCGAAGGAACTTGCCCGAGGCTGACTTGTGACAGACGCCGGGCTGCTCGCGCGTGAGTTATGTAACAGTGATGTCTCTTGCACATGCCACCCCGAAGCTTGAACTGCGACCCTAAGCCGTAGGACAGCTCGGCAGCAGCTTTGAAAAGGAGTAGAGCCCACGTCCCCGGAGCCATGCCCATCATATGCCAAGTTTGTGGGGCGAAAAACGAACACCTCACGGCTCATTGTCCTGACCGTCAGGATCCTCGGCCTTGCGACCGCCAGGATCCTCGGGAAGGAAAGGGGGGCATCTCCAAGGGCGGCAAGAGGGGAGGACCCACTGCGCGTGGACGCGGCAGAGGAGTCGGTCGGAATGTCGTGCCGAGTCAGGAATACAAGGAGACCTTAGCGGAGGCAGAGGCTTCAGACAACAAACCATGGATCAGACACAAGTGCTCAGACGACGAGGCTGCGACACGGACATTCATGCGCATCAGGCCGTCAGCTGTTGACTGGACGAGGTTCGGATGGCTTTATGCCACGGGTAGCCAGAAAACAACCGTTCAGCGAGAGAAAAACGTCGGGCAACTGAAGGCAGATTGGAAGGAGCTCTCATCACGACATGATCTTTCCAGGACAGACCTGGTGGATGGCCTCAAGCAGCTCGCGCTTCGCCACGGCGTTCCGGGGGGAAAGTGGCTCTTCTTTCTGAAGCCAGCTGACATGGATGCGCTGAGTAATGCGGCCCTGGGAGCAGGTGATTCCATGAAAGTTGGGGGCAACGGAAAAGAGTACCTGTGCTGCGTCTTCGTGAGGAACTGTTTCGACGCTGAAGAGGCCGAAAGTCTCCGAAGTTGCCTGCACGACCTGCTTGGGGGCCTCGTGGCAAGAGTGGAGCTTCCTGAAGCCAGATGCTTATTCCTATTGCGGGATATACAGAGCTAACCCGTGGAAGCTGTCGACATCCTTGGCTTCCTGCAAGGTGCAAGCCACCGACGGGGAGAGTGTGCAAACAGCCCTAGTTCTAGCGGATTCTCACCACGACCGATGTCAACTTGCTCCACTTCTGCAGGCTGTGGAGGAGGAGTCCGTCGAAGCACTTCTTCCAATCCTCCAGAACGCTGACTCCCGGAAAGCTTTGGTGGACTCGCTGCATGCCGCCGCTTTGCATCCCAGGGCTGGGGATCTCCCTTTCGTGAGAATGTGTGCCATGCTGAAGGAGGCCGAGAGCCTTCGGTACCTCGTGGTCAGGGTTATGAGGATGATGCACGGCCTTGTAGAGAAGGACGCAGCTTTCGTCTTCGGTTATAGGAGCCTTGTGTTCTCCTATCCAGAGTTCAGGCGCATGCATATGGCCAACTTTGGGCTTTTGGCGGATCTCTGTGTGCACGGGCTGATGCCAGGAACGCTTTTGATTGATGAGATGGAGCGATGGCTCCTTGCCGACAGTGTCAGGCTGCCTCCGCCTTCAACTTGGGCTTTCGTGCTTCAGAACCTTGGCGACATGGCGCAAAGGCTAGCTGATTCACGCCCGAAAGTCAGCCGAACCCTCGACTCCTTCGTGCAGGATTGCAAGGTTAGCCCACATTCGCGGCTCAGCATTCTCAGCCTCAACGTGTCTTCTGACGAGATGCAGCGAGAACTTCGCACGGCCCTACTCCTGCCAGCTCTCCAACAACTTGGCCCCGTTGTTTGCTGCTTTCAGGAGGTGAGGACTGCTCTGAGTTAGGGTCCTGTGTATCTCTTGGGGCTTTTTTGGGAGCCCGACACATGTTTGGAAAGCTCGTCAATATTGGAGTCTTGATTTCGAAAAGCCCCCAGGTGACCCGCAAGGTGGCCATGGACATCCAGCGTGCGCTTCCCACCTGGGAATCTTCAGACCCTGGAGATGGATCGTCTATAAAAGGCCATGGCGTTCTGATGCTCGGCCTCTGCTAGCAGAAATTTCATTGTTTGAGAAGGCTTCAGGCATTTCGGAAGATTTGGGTCATGTCCGTGCTTCTTCCAACCCAGGATCATGGCTCCGCCAGAGTTAGATGCTCGTTTTTCCGGCCACCTTCTGCAGTCCAAAGATTGCAAGCTGGTTGTGGCGGAATTCCCAGGCCTAGCCGTTGGCAATGTGCACTTATTGAGCAGCCCGGAGCTTCGAGAGAGGCAGCTCGCAGATTGCGCTCAGGTGGGGGCTTTTCCACAGTTCTCTAAATTAGGGCACCTTTTAGGGCCCGTATTATAACGGTGCCGTATTATTTGAGGGACTTAAAAAGGGAGCCTAATTTACGGAACTACCCACGTCATGGTGTTGAAGCCAACAGGAGACCAAGTTACAGGCGTAGTCTACGATATTTATGCTGCATATGTACTGAGGGCCTTTATGGACGACGACAGTCATATCAATTCAGGCTCCTATGCTAGAGCATGCTGAAGGGCCGTAACTGTTTTCGCCGGTTTATAGCAGCAAGGTGATGCAACAATGGTCTAACATGCTCTTGGTGGGTGACTTCGGCATGAATGAAGATGTTCTACACCGGTGCTTATTGCAAAACCAGCTGCCAGACTTCACAGACCTTTGGCCTGTGTTGCGAGATGAGCCTGGCATCACAGTGCGCTGTCAGGGCAAAGGCAAGGGGAAGAGGACGGACCGGGCCCTCGCAAAGCTACCGCGGTGGAAGCCGGTGGATATGCAGCTGATGTTTGATCAGCCGCTTGTGCCGGGACCTTTTTTGCTCGACGTTCTCCCGTCGATGTACAGCAATTTCGTGCATTTCAAGCCTGAGGTGGGCACCAATGCCACCTTCGTAAGTGACCACCTGGGCTTGCTGACGACCATTGAACAAAACACAGATGTGTCCAGGTCACAAGGTGGTTAGCGACGCAGCAAGCCACCCAGTGACAGTTTTTCCATGTATCAGCTGCCACTCCGCTCAAAGCGAATGTGTGATCAATGCCAAAGCCTTCGCACACAATCGAGGCCTGGAGAAACAGCACAATTCACAGCTCCTAAACGCTGGACCCTATCCGCAGCTATGCATGAGGGTAACAGTGGCTGGTGTTGTGGGTTCAGTCTCGTGTCTCTGTTCCGAGACGACGGCGAGCCTGGATGCAATTCTTCAGGGGATTTTGTGGTTTCGGGTTCGATGGAGGTAGCTCAGTCTCGGTTGAGTACGAAGCAATGTCTTCGGCAGGCATAGGAATGGATGCTCATTTCGCATGCGAGCGGTTTCGGGTTTGGGGTTTAGGGTTGTGTGGTTTCAACCAGAAGGACAGGTGCATGGAGGAAGGGGGTCTTATCGAAGCATCTCCAGAGCAGTGTGCAGTCGTGCTAAGAGGCTTCGTCCTGTGTTGCCTATCGGGCTTTTTAGGGTTCATGAGTACATTCAATAGTATATTGGGCCCCAAAACTCTATTCTAATTACAAAGGCCCCTACATTCCCTATCACGCCAAGTTCCCCTTCTCATTGCGTAGTAGGCGCCAAGAGGTCGGTCGCTTCTAAACCTGTTGCCCTAAATCCTAAGCCGGATGCAGGCCGACATGATGCTCAAGAAGGGGGCGGCCGAAGTGGATGCGGGTCACGTGAAGGTCGCTTAGCTAGAGCCCAATGAGGGCGTAGGCGTGGAAGACGGTGGAAGGTTTTAGTTCTAGTATCAAAAAATTGTAAAAAAACTATTCTAATTATTAAAGCCCTGTTAGTGTAGGGTTCGGTTTGCGCTTGGATCCGTGCCTCGGTACTTCGGGTTTAGATATACCTGGGCTCTGAGGGCGGTAAGGGGCACTCTACAGATGGATGCCTCACCAGATTGGTCCTTCGTTCAAACCAACAGAATGCGCTGGCGAAATCTTCAGGATTCAGTTGTTCAGCTGCATTGGCAATGACCAAAAATTGCTGCCAGAAGTACGGAATGGACTGTTTGGAAACATCCAGTCGTTCATTGCACATCTTGGGCAATCTGCATTTACCTCGATCTTGTGGGTGCTTTTCGGGTAGCTTTTTGGTTGGATATGGGGCATGGCTGCCACGTTGCTATTCTGAATATACTTGGCAGGCGCATATTTGTGGTATAGGCGGATATGTGCGATTCTGTGGCAGCTGGTTATCCTATCAGTTTCTGCTTTCGGGTGATCTTCTTGATCTTCATGAACCTGAGATATATGATTGTAGTCGTCATGTTTTTCGAGATCGAGTGAAGGTCGTGTCTTTTCAAGCAGTCCCAGATCAGTAGTTGCAGACAGTGCAACACGCTTCACGTGCTCAGCCATAAGCGCTGGAGTCTGGCGCTTGGTTGAAGGGATTCCGGGCTAAGTGCATTGCAGTCCCTGCTCAAAAAAAGGTTGTGGTGTTTGGGGTTCAGGTTCGGGTTTGGGTGCACGTGTGTGCCACCCTTCCCGGCACCCTAAACCCTAAACCTTGAACTCTAAACCCCAAAACCAGAAACCCCAAAACCGTCTCCCTGAACACTAGGAGCAACCCAAGGATGGGCTCCGAAAGAAATGAACCGATGCTGCGGCCCTAAACTGTAGGGTTTAGGCCAGTTTAGGGTTTAGGGTTTAGGCCCTGGGCTCGCAGCGGCTGGTTTCTACAGCGGTGCGGGTGTGTGGCATCACTTCAGCGGGCCGGAGCATGCCTTCCCAATTCCATGAAGGCCTTGAAGCCCTAATCCCTAAACCCTAAACCCTAAACTGGCCCTAACCCCTAAATCCTAAATCCTAAATCCTCAACCCAAAACCCTAAATGAAAGCCTGAAGCCGTCAACTCTACATCTCCCTGAGGTCGGTGTGAGCACACATATTTGCAGCTTGCCAGGCCAAGCAGGAAGCCATGATGATGCGAACGGAGACCACTACCTACAGGACCTGCTTGCAGAATATGGCACCCGGGTAGCAAAAAGAAGCTTCGGTTCAAATCAAAAGGGTGGAGCGCAACAAAAGACGCCGTAGAGGCTGCCTAAATCCTAAACTCCCAATCCTCAAGTATTAAACCCTAAACCCAATCCTAAACCCCCCTCTAAACCCCGCTCTGAACTCCGAAATAAAGCCGAAGTCCGAGACCCGAAGCCCATGAATTTGGGCGTCTCCAGACCGCCAGAAGATCTGATGATACTTTGTTTTCTTGCAGCTGAGGGCTGCCAAGGGAGGTCCGACATGAGGGTTCAGGGGTTAGGGTTGAGGGTTGAGGGTTTTGGGTTTAGGGTTTAGGGTTTTGGGTTTAGGGGATTTGGGTTTAGGGTTGAGGGTTTAGGTTGAGGGCTTAGGTTGAGTGTAAGGGTCTCGGTTTGGAGTTTGGGGTTTAGGGGCGAGCCTCCAGGTTTTCAGGGTTGTGCTGCAGGTGTACTATAGGGTCCAAGGGTAGGGCGATTCAAGACCGTCCTGCTTCGATAGACACAGAAATCCCGAAACCTGATCCACAGTTCCCGGTGCCCCAATACGGCACACAATGCAGAGTCCTCTAACTGCATGCTTCAGCCAAGACGTAAAGGTCGAGCTCAAAATGCACGTTAACACTAAACCCCCCAAATGCTGAATCGTAAGTGACGGCGGGCCTCAGGAGGGACAGGAGCAGTCCCAACCCCAAACCAAAGTCTAAAGACCCTAAACCTTAAACCTGAACCCTGAACCCTGAACCCTAAACCCTAAACCCTAAACCCTGAACCCTAAACCCTGAACCGTAAACCCTAAACCCTGAATCCTAAACCCTAAGCCCCAATTCGGCCTTAAGCCTGTGGCCCCAGGACCGAAACCGTACGCCTCGAATCATTCCCGAAGCAGAGCTCCATTCCTAAATAGTCCTAACCCAAACCTGCATTTAGGGTTTAGGGTTTAGGGTTTAGGGTTTAGGGTGCAGTTTCCTCTGTGCGGTGTCTG